ATTGGGGGGAGGAAGACTTAGGCAGCTGGGGGGATGGAACCTGCAGCCAGGAGAGTGAGTGCATGACCCACATTCACATTTAAAAACACAACACTACCCACTAAGCAGAACTGAAGGCAGGTTGAATTTACCCTGTGGGCTGTGAGTATGAGACCCCTGAATGAGATGGTAGTGTGCCCAGGGCCAGGATACCTGTGGAGTTCTCTGAAGGCCCAGCTGTGAGAATGGGGTTGGATCTGCCAGCAGGGAACAGCGTGGACACAGGGAAAGGCCTGTGTGGGCATCTGGAAGTTGGAGAGAAGCCAGTGTCCTGGGGGAGGCTGGTTCTGTGCATGTGAGTATGTCATTTCCAGCTCTTGGGGGAAAAACACACACCACAACAAATTAACTCAAGGGCAAGATAAACTGATACTTGAAAATCCTGATTCGCAGATAAGCTACATTTATCAAACACTTGTTATGTGCTAGACGCTGCGCTAAGAGCTTTATGTATGTTATTTACTGCTGAGGGCGGGTGTGGGTATCCCCATTCTGCAGATGGAGATGGAGATTCAGAGGTGAAATCACATTGTCAGTGAATGTCAGGTATACTTGAGTTATGCTTTCAGGTGTACCACAGAACCGCTTAGGACCCCAAACACCCTTGAATATAAAAAAGCTCTGGGACCATATGAATTGGACTTGCATAAAGTTCCAGAGTTGAAAGAGATCCCAAAGTGAGTATCCTTTCCCCAGACCTTCGCAGTCAGGTAAATCCTGTTACGGCCTCTACGCCCACTTTGAGGGCTCTTCCAGAAATAACCGAGCCATGGAACGATTGCATCTACCCCACTTCTCTGCCTTGGGAACTTCCCAACACTGATATTTTCCTTCAAATGTGATTTACCAAAATTCAGTTAGTCCCCAAACCCTCTAGAAACCATCTAGAACATCTCAAGGAAAAGCCAGAGGTTTCTATATTAGCAGCCTCTATTGTCCTATACCACCTAGCAGCTTGAGAATCATCTTCAAGGTGGTGGATCATGTAAGATAGGAACACACTTGGCTTCAATGAACAAAATACTTGCTAAGACTGTCTTAAACAACAGTGACACTTTTTATTTCATTTAACAAGAAGGTAGGCAGTTCCAAGGATGGGGCAGTGGCAAACTGCCAATGAGGTCCTAAATTTACCCCCAGCTTTTTTTTTTGCTCTCCTCAGCATGACAGTGATATTCCTTCTCATGGTCACAGGATGGTTGCTGCAGTACCTATCATCATGCCTTCACAATAATTTCCAAAAGCAAAAGAGCAGGACATGGACAAGCTCTTTTTGTCACCAAGGAATAGGAATAGACTACTCCTTATGTTTCATTGGTCAGATCTGGGTCACATGTCCATCCTTAGACCAATCACTGACAAAGGGAAGTGAGGTTGCTATGAGTAATGGAAACCAATCACAATTCATCCTCTGGGATTGGACACATTGAGGAGGGACAAGATCAGAGTCCTGTTAGGAAGAATTTAGAGTATTCTTAGAGCAATGCTAGCTGCTCTAACAAATATATCCCCACGTTTCAGTGGCTTAATGCAACAGAAATTAATTTCTCATTTTTGTAACAGTCCAATGAGGATGCTCCTAGTTGGTGGGTGATTTTTTCCACCAGTTGATTTGGGGGATCTGTCTTGTGGCTCCGCCCATCTCTAGCTCCTTTTTCCATATGGGGGAAGAGAAGATGGAAACATCACATCCACTTGTTAAAAGTCAGGTTCTGAAAGTGACACACTTCCCCTCTGCTCATACCCTATTGGTGAGAATGTATCACATCGCCTTGCCTAGATGCAGGAGGAGCTGGGAAGTGTAACCTCTGTCCGCAAAGCTACCTCAAGCAACAACTCTACATGAAGGGGAAGTGGCTGTTGGGGAGGCAATGAATTGATCTCTTAAGAGCTGATCTTATTATATCCTTGCTTTCAAGGAACATCAGGCTTTTCCAGACCTCTTTGCCAGTCACTTCTCAGTACGTGCTGCCACCTGCACTAGTCCACACATCATTCTCGGAACACTCCTTTATTCACTTGCCTCTTAGCCTTTGCCCATTTTTCACCCCTTACCCAGAATTTCTTCTCCACTTTTTCTCTGCTTGGTGAACTCCTAGTCATCCTTCAAAACCTAAATTAAAAGTCACTTTCTTTGTGGAGCCTTTTCCACTATTTTCCCTGGGTAAGATTCATAGCACCTTGAAGGCTGACTTATCACTGAATTCTTTACAGTGCTTAGTGCACAGTAGGAGCTTAGTTTGTGTGCTAAATGGATCTAAGTACTTTGGGCATGAGAACTCATTTGGTTGCAAGCGATAGAAAACTCATCTCAAACTGCTTGAAGAGAATGTGTTGATTCATGTATTAGACATGACCCAGAGGTATCTTCAGGCTTGGCTGTATGAGGGGCTCAGCTGATGTCCTCAAGGTTCAATCTCTCTTTATTTTGTCTTCTCTTCTCCATATTAACTTTATATTTCCATCCCCTTGCAGAGAAAAGATGGCTGCCAGCCCCTCCCAACTTCATTCACTTAGGTTTAAGTGCAACAAGAAATAAAGTCTCTCTTCCTGAGTGTGCAAGCTTAAGTTCCACCATTCACTCTTCTTGGACTAGCCAGGGTCGTGTGCCCATCCCTGAACTGATCCCCTAGGCCAGGGGGCCGGAATTATGTAGATTGGCCAAGGGTCTGGCACTCTGATTGGCCCATCCAGGGTCACATGTTCCAATGCTGAAGGTGGTATGGTGGGGTCAGCCCCAGGGGACAAAAAATGACCAGGACTATGTATGTGTGTGTGTGTGGTGGGGGTTGGGGGCAGGCTGGCTTCTCATGGGAAATCCTGGATATTGTTACCAGGAGGTAGAGGAATGCTGGACACCCCACATAAACACTCATTACACTGGACCTTCACCGTAGGCAACAACCTATACCATATCAGCCTCTGTTTACTAAGCACTTACCATGTGCCAGGCTCAGTGCCTAACATGCTCAACAACCCGTGAAGTGCCTTCTAAAATTTCTATGTTGTAGATGAGGAAACCGAGGCCCGCAGAACTGAAGTGACTTGTTCCAGGTTCGTAAGTGGCTGAGGAGGAATTTTTGCTGAGATCCGGTGATTGATATAAACAATGCTTTAAGCCACTGCACTGCAGGACCCCTCGGGGTGGCGAAGCTAGACATTTCTGCCTTAGGAATCTAATTCATGAAGTCTGAGATTTGGGGTGCAGCGGATCTCACAGCCCTGTGTAACTTATAGGGATAGCATCGTCCCCACCTGTGGTACTTACGGGCCAGATGAGGTTTACGTTATGACATGGTAAAATGGCTCTCATTACCACTGGCTCTTGCTTTAAAAGGTGAGGGGTGAGGGGTCCCCGACAGCTGAAGCTAGGTGAGTCTCACTTTAACCCCAACAGAGAACACACTGTCCTGATGCCCTTTGCCCCATCTTTTCTGGGGACACAGGGAGCAGGAGGGTAACTGACATGCCAGAACCATCTGCCCAGCTCCTAATAATAAATTGTGTGAGAAGCAGGTTTCAGGCAAACATTGCTTAAAAAAAAAAAAAAGAAGGCTCTTCTCACCCCCGGGCAGCCATCTGCCATGTCCCCCTCATGTGCCAGGCTGTGGGAGGAGAAAGGGACTGCAGGGCGTGGGGGAGGGAGAAGGTGCCACTAGGTCCTGCACTTCTAGAAGGGTGGCTCACAAGTTCTCTTCCTTTCATCACTGCAGACAGGGCACTGCAGAGAGAGAAAGGAGCACCTGCTGGCTTTGACCCTCCCGGGTCCGGTGTCTGAGCAGAAGGAAAGCACGATTCCTTCAAGATGCCGTTGGTAGGTAGTAACAGCTCTCATGTCCAGAGAGCGTTCTGTGGGTCAGGAGCTGTGTTGCCCACTGCACACCTATCAGCTCATCTCATCCTGACAACAAACCTATAGGTGCACGTTTGTAGATAAGAGACTGGAGGCTCAGAGATGTTAAGTGACTCACCCAAGGTCATACAGCAAAGCCACCTTTTCAGTATGCAATAATGAGGCCTATCCTCCTCTCCATCCTGGCAACCTGGGGCAAGGGGGAGGTTGCCATGTAACAGATAAGCAGTTGACATCACTCAGGTGTGGTCTTCCACCTCTAGGCTTGCTCTAGCCACCCCCTCCTGCTCTTTGCCCTTGAGCGGAAATGTGGGCTTCTTTAGTCACCTAACCTGTTACTTATGTGCAACCCGACCCCCTCCCTGTCTCACTCAGTCAAGGAAGCACAAGAGAAAAGACTCCGACTATCCCCAGGAACCTTCAGAGAAGACTAAAGAACAGCTGGCCGAGGCGGAACTTCGGAAGCTGAGGCAGCAGTTCCGGAAGATGGTAGAAAGTCGGAAGTCCTTTAACTTCCGCTCCCAGCAGAAGATAAAGAACCAGAAGTAAGTGATGGTCGGAGTTTTGTACTGAGTGAACTTGCAGAACATTTTTGGTTTGGTTCCATGGGGCTTGCCTTCCCATGTGGCCTCAGGCCAGGGATCTCTTTCTGAACTCAGTCTGGGGACCACTTGGGATAGCTTCAGTGGGGAGGGGAGATTTAGTGTCAGAATCCAGCGTGTGTCAGGGACTCCAAGGCAGCAGGGCTCAAATGAGAATTCGTTTCTGGGTCCTGTTTCTTCCTCCACATGGGTTTTGTTCTTCTCTCTCTGATTCTCAGCCCCGGCGGGCGGGAGATGGCTGTCCCCAACTATTTAGCTACCATGAGCCACGCAGAGAGACTGTTGTGAATCATTTCCAATCCCCAATTCCCAGGAGAGGGAAGGTCTGGCTCGGCTTGGGTCAGGTGTCTGCTCCTCGTCCAGCCAGCTGCGGCAAGGGACAGGGGACATTGGGCCATACATAGGACACAAAATGGCTATGGGTGTCATTCCCATGGTTCTAGCACTGGAGGTGGGGAATATTGCGAGAAGGGGAAATCACCAGGCTTTGAACACCCCGAAGGATGATTCCTGTGTGTACATTCTTATGGGATCTGCAAGATAGACTATTTGAAACTGGGTTGCCCTAGAATTATGGTGTATTTAGTTTCTTTGGGCAGTGGGAAGGTGTTCTCTGGGGTTGAATAAACAAACATTAAACAGGCCCTCTTAGATTTCCTCTAAGGGCATGTTATTCCTTAGCTACATCCATAACATCTATACAGGCAGAAACTGCCCATTATTAGAAAGAAAATCTTAACCGTTAGATGATGCGCCAAGTTCAGAGGATAGGGAAAGGGGCTCTGTAGATTTCCCATGGATTTGACCACTGCTAGTCCACATGGGAATCTTCCTGAGTTAGAAAAAGGTACCCTTTCTCAAGACACTTTACTGCCATCTGTTGGAAACATTGTCATCATGTCGGGATTTTGTTAGAACAAGACAACGTGTCTCTTAGAAAAGTGTAATAAATCAATAAATCAATGGTGTTTTTTTAAAAGGCAAACTGTGCTCCCTTGGGCTGTGCAGTCCACAACCTGGACGTCTGTGCCTGGTGGCCTGATTCACAGTCTACCCCCCGGCGGGCATCAGGAAGAGCTCCTTCCTTGCGTGTCTCTGACAGTTTTTCTTGAATCACCCTTTTGCACCCCACTTTGCCCTGCCTCAGTCCATCTGATCTGGAGGGAGGCGGAAGACTGGAGATTTTCAGTTCTGCAGAGTGCAGCACCTACACACAGGGCCGGAGCATGGGTGAGGGGAGCAAGGCGCCTAGAGGGCAGTGTTTAAGGAGGTGCTCTTCCCCAGGGCCGACCCTGCACCTACCACCGAGAGCGAAGGGCGCCTTAGATTTGGGGGCACCTCATTTACCTCGCTGCAGCCCCAGCCTTGCCTACAAAACAGACAGGACTTCCTTTTGCTTTGACTGATCCCTCTGCAAGCCTCGCTCTGGGGACTCTTGTGCTCCCTCTCTCTCTCTTTTTTCTTTCCACCTTAACAAAGACCCCCTTCCAAGAGGGACTTGAGTCGGAGAAGCTGGAGAGAGAAGCTCCAGCTGTCAGGTTTAGAAGATGAGGTGTGCTCTAGAGCTGGGTGCACTAGCCACACATGGCCACTTACATTTGCAGTTAATTAAAATAAATAAAATTTCAGTTCTGCAGTTGCACTAGCCACATTTCAAGTGCTCAAGAGCCACAGTGCCTGGTGGGCGCTGTCGGACAGCGCAGCTGAAGACCTTTTTCATCACTGCAGAATGTTCTGTTGGACAATGGTGCTTTAGGACAGTGGTCAGCAAAGAATGGCCCATGGGCCAAGTCTGGCCAGCTGCCTGTTTTTGTGAATAAAGTTTTATTGGAGTACAGCCATGCCTGTTCCTTTATACATGGTCTGTGGTTACTTAGTTGAGTAGTTGCAACAGAGACATCTGGCCCACAAAGCCTAAAATAGTTACTCTTTGGCCCTTTATAGAAAAAGCTTTGCAGACCTCTGCCCTAGACAGTCTCTGCTGTTCTAGCATGGTGCTTCCAAAATTCTGATGGTCATATGAGTCACTTGATCTTGTTACAAAGCAGATTCTGATTCAGTAGGTCCCATGCTGGGGCCTGAGTGTCTCCATTTCTCCAAGCTTCCAAAGAACATTGAGGCAGCTGGTCTGCAAACCACTCTGAGCAGCAGGGGGTGGGGGAGGGCAGGTAGGGTGCCCAGAGTTTGCCAGAAACTTGGCTTCTGTGCCACTTCCAGTTGTGCCGTTGTGCAGTCACCCAAGCCTTCCTTTTTCTTTCTGAAATCCCTGTTCGTCCACATCCCCCACCCACTCTTCTCCAGAGTAGACAGAGGGAGAGAAAAGGGGGGGACTCATGTCAGCCAACTTAACAAGTCATTAGCACCCCGAGTAGAGAAACTGGTGGAGGTTAGAGGTTACTGTACATCTCTGCGTTGATGCAGAATTGAAAATTCTGTCCAGTGGGCTTGCCTCTCGTTATCAGAGATAATTGGCTGTAAAGTCTGGAAAGTCTGTACAATCAGGCCAATGCCAGTGAACTGGAGGCAACAGAACGTGAGGGTTCCCACCATGTCCTGATAATGGGTTTCAACAGGCACAACTGCAAATTGTTCCCTAGAGAAAAATTGCCTCTCAGAGAAAGGCAGAGCAGTGGAAGTTGCAGTGAACTGGGTTGCAGGCGATCTGAGTTCGAGGCCCGGACCCACGGCTTGGGCAGATCCTTTCCACTGTTCAGGTGGCAGGTGCCCCTCTGAGATTCCTTTCATGGGGAAGGAGTCTGGTGTGTCCGACCAAGGTAAGCCCTGGGGTTTAGGGTTCCTCATGCACTGCTTTCCCAACAGGGAGAAAATCAAGACCCTGCAAGAGGAGCAGGATGAGATCACCTTGCTTTTGGGTCTCATCAAGTCTTCCAAGAACTTGGATCTGAATAGGAAAAACTACATGGAGCTGCGTTTCCTGCTGCAAACCAAGGACGACTACGAAGCCTTGATTAAATCGATGAAAATACTGTTGGCCGAACTGGATGAGAAGGTATGGTGTTTCTCTTAAAGGGTCAACCAGAACACAGGGAAAGGGGAACAGGCGGGGGAAGTAGCCATGATGTCGTAGGCCAGATTTGACACTTCCCTTCCTTCCCCGCCTTGACTTTTCTAAAGGTGACTGTGGTCACTGTCTCCACCACCTGTAACCCCTGATCTCCCAGCCCTATTGATCCATTTTTCCACTGCGATCTCCAGTGCCTCCCCGCTACACTTAGAATAAATTCCCAAATCCTTACTGTATCAGTGAGGAGATATTAGGTTATGCTACAATAACAAACATCCCCCACACCAAACTCAGTGGTTCAAAACAATAAAGGTTTCTTCCTCATTCTTGCTTCATGTCTATTAGGGATTAACTAAAGGCTCTTATACTGTCTCATCCTGGGACCAGGCTGATGGGGTAGCCACCATTTTGAACATTGCCAGGTTTGTAGAGAAAAAGCTCTGGAGAGTCTCACACTGGCACTTGAGTGCTTCAGTGACATGTGTCACTTATGCTTATGACTCATTGGCTCAAAATAGTCTACCAAACCCATAAGCACCCTAAATATTCATACCCAAAGCAGTCGACTCTACCCATCAAAAGAGTCCAGGAAGCGTAGCCCTTCCATGAATCCAGAAGGCAGAGAGCTAGAGAGATTTGCTGGATAGTGTTAATAACCATATCTCTTACTATGACTTGAAAGGCCCTGTATGATCCAACTTCTCCCTACCCCCTGGCCTCATCCCACATCATTCCCTCAATTTACCTCACCCCAGCTGCAAAAGACTCTTTTTTTCAAATATGCTAAGCCTTCTCTCACTCAGGGCCTTTGCATGTGCTCTGTCCCCGCTGCACCCCACTAGCTCCTTATCCTTTAGATCTCAACTTAAATGTGACTTTCTCAGGGAGACCTGAGACCTTTTCTCTGCCTCCTCTTTAGTTTAAACTTACCCCCTCCCCTTTATTAGTCAGACCCCTGGCCAAGAACAAATCACATGCTCATTAGAATACTTTGAGAATTTTATGAAGAGATGGTTTACAAGGGTATGAGCATGAAGTACGGATGTTGAAGCACTGTGGGGTGAGTGACAGTGGGCAGGAACCTGGAGACAGGGAGCAAACAGGGGGATAAGTACCCCAACCCCACTTTCTTCTAACCCTCTGATCCCCAGGGCAAGGGAGCCATTGTAGATGCTTCCCAGGTCAGCCACCTGGGGCGCAGAGCAGGGCGAGCAGGGTGGAGAGTGGGTCTCAGAGGCAAAAAGAAGGTCACAGCACACCCCCTTACTCTCTTTCCTGGCACCCCCTTCATAGCTCTGCTCACAGTGGTGATCATGCCTTAGTACGGGTGTCGTCTAATGTCTCCTTACCCTGTCAACTCCATGAGGACAAGGACCATGCCAATTTTGTTCCCCACCATACCCCCATGCCTGTTCCAGTGTCTAGCACTTAGTAGGTCCTCACTAAATATTTGCTGACTGAATGAATCTGGAAATCTCATTGCACCTTTCCTCTGCTTCAGATTCCTCAGTAATTTCTGTCATCCTTATGATAAAGACCAGGCCCCTCAGTGCTGTTTGCAGGCTCTGCAGCCAGCTTTGTGTCCCACCTGCCTCTGACCTTCGTGCCTGCTCCCCTCCTCTGTGTTCTGTCCACACTGGCTGCCTCTGGGAGCCACGGTGCTGTCTCTCGCTTCCAGGCCTTTGCACGCACTGTTCCCTCTTGCCTGAGGTGCCCTTCCTCACCCTGTCCGCTTGGGGAGCTCTTATTTGGGTCTCAGCTCAAACACTGCTTCTGCAGAGTAGTCATCCCGTTATCTTTCCCTGCATGGTGTTCCTACTGTGTGTGTCCACAGTACCTTTATTCTCCTAGGGCTAGTCACTGTCCCCTGCAGGTGGCTGACACTGTGCCTATAGACTTTCCTGAAAGCGTGGGGATAACTGAAGGGAGATAAACTCAGGAACATAACAGGATCCCAGGTGCAACTCCTGGAATTCCTCAGCCCGAGCTCTGCGGGGCCGCGGCCGGCCTCCGCCTGCCTCCTAACGTTGTATTTTATCACACCGAGCCTTAACTTCCCTCGTCTCACTTCTGGACTGTCCTCAATGGGAAACCCAAGCCCCTGCCTCTACACAAACAAGAGCACACCAGCTTGTTCAAAATGACAATGTCCCCTTCATTCCCCTCCTGCCTTTACTCACCAGGGTTCCAAAAAAAGGCCTCAGCTTCAAACCCTGAGAGGAACATGCACCTGTGATGTGCTCAGGAGCCAGCACTCGCCAGTCCTTAAGGGAACGTTTTATCCAATAACAGTTCTGTAAACTTTTAGAACCTTCTAGGATGTAGCATGAGCCAGCTGTCCTAGATGGGACTAAATATTGAGCAGAAAATCTAGACATTTGCCTGAGTGTGGACTGAAGCCACACCGCGGGTCGGCTGTGTGTGCTGTGTGCAGAGGTGACTTTATCCGCTGTGCTTGTATGAGAAACGATGGAATGAGCACTCTGGAAAGGCAGCAGGGGACGTTTGAGCCAGGAGAACGTGGCTGGAGTTACAAGGGTACAGAAAGACACTAAAATGCTTTCCTGCCCGCCACAGCAGGGTGTAGTTCACTTATTTGAAGTCACACTCTGTTATCCTCATGGGTGAAGGTCGTGGCATATCAGTCAGAAATGCTTTTGGCTGCAGGTAACATCCAGTACCCAGCCTAGAGGAGCTTGGACCAAAAGGATAATTACTTATCATTTATTTTTAATAGACTTTTAATTTGGGAATCATGTTAAATGTACAGAAGTGTTACATAGGTGGTACAGAGAGTCCCCGCACCCTCACCCCCTGGCATCCCCTGATGCAAACACCTTACCCTACCCTGGGTCATTTGTCAAACCTAAGAAATTAACATCGGCACGGTACTATTAACTGAACTACAGACTTTCCTCTGATCGCTCCAGTTTTTCCATTAACGTCTTTTTACTGTCCACAGGCCCAGTCCTGGACAGCACATTGCATTTAGGATATTTTTACTTAGCAAGAAGTCCTCTGACGCAGGTGGCCTCAGCATTGTTTCACCTGCTTTAAAAGGTCGTGGCAGCCACACCTTCCCTGCACCCCGAGGCTGCATCTTTCACCCCCTCTTTGCTCTGTCTGTGTGCCTCAGAGGAGGGCGCCTGTTGCCTTTCTGCCAGGCCCGTCCTTTCATGAACACCTGGCTTCATCAGTGACCGTCCTCATCGTTCCCTTCTTCAACTGCTCTTTCTTTGTCTCTTTTATCTGAAAACAAACAAACAACAACAACAAAACCCCGAAAACCAAGCACAAACAAAGAACAAAGTAAAACATAACACCGCGGCAAGTTCATTACTGCCAGCTTTGCCCCTGTCTAGCAGCGTTTGCTTTCTGGGGTAGGCACTGTCTCCAGCACCACTCCCAGTGGTAGACGCAGCATCCCTTGCACTGAAACTTCTGTTGCCAGGATGGCCAAGGACCTTGGCCTCCAAACCCAGTGGCTTCGCCTCAGTTTCCAGCCAGAAACTTTGAATCTGTGAATACCATGCTCTCCAGCAGGAAGGGACCTCCCAGATGCACAGCCCATCTGTGGATCCCCTTAGGATGGTGGCTCTTAAACCTGTCATTCCCAACACCCATCTCCTTCCTTTCTTCTTCCCTGCCCCCCTCCCTCCTTCCACTGAATTATTGATTATATACAGTTGAGTACACACCTTAAAGGTACAACTTGATGAATTTTTACATATTTATACACCCATGTAAACATCACCAAGATCAAGACATAGAACATTCCAGCACCCAGAAGGTCCCCTCAGTCCTCTTCCACTAACCACCCTCCAGGGAACCCCTGTTCTGACCCCTGGAATCATAGATTCAGTTTGCCTGCATATAAAACTCCATATAAATGGCCTCTTCTAGTACATGCTCTTCGTGTCTGACTTCTTCCACTCAGCAGTTACTGCTGCCAACACCCGGTTTTGACAGCAAATATTTTACAGTGCCTTCACGATCCTGAAATGAAATTCATAGATGACATAATCCTTTACCCTACTTATCCTTTTAAATTATTGATGCCCTAATGATAATATAAAGTAGAAATAAAACAAAGTTATTTATCCTGAAATTATTTATTAAATATTTATTTACATAAATGCGGAGTTATGTATTTTGATACATGAGTGTTCCGGTCTGACTTACCTAGGATGAAGCTAGCAAACTGTTTCTGCAGAGAGACAGAGTAAATATTTTGGCTTTGCGGGCCACATTGCAACTACTCCACTCTGCCTTTGTAGCAAGAAGACGACCACAGACAATAAAGAATGGGCATGACTGTGTGCCAATAAAACTTTATTTACACAAATAGGCAGCGGGTTGGATTTGGCCGAGAGGCTGTGGTTTGCAGACCCCTGGTCTAAAATGTAGTCAGAAGCATGTTATCTATATGCAGAGTCACTGAGAACTCCACCCTGCAGACTGATTTGGCCTTGTTTTATCTTCAACTCAAAGAATATGATCCAGATTGTGCTAGTGACATGATTTCCAAAATGGTGACCAACTCTTTGTAAAGTTCCAAACAAATCAAAGAGCATTCTATTGATTTATACAGTGACTACCTTCCTGGATAATTCAGTATCTTTTAGAACCGAATGAAAAATACTGTGTGTTTGTATGTAGAAGACAGTTTGATTCTGGGTACAGATATAAAGAGGTTTTTCACCTGAGTAACATCCAGAGGGGCACTGGACATTTACAAGGGATGGGGGACAATTCTTGGATGTTTGGTGCTGTCTTGCATGTTGCAGGATGTGTGACATGTCATGACCCGACCACTAAGTGCCACTAGCGTCCCATCATTGCAAGAGCCAAAAGCCACTCCACGAGGTTACAGAAGGCCCCCTGGGGAGGGACGGTGCCATCTCTGCCGGAAGCCATGGCTTTGGGGTAAGATGTAATTTATACCCACAGGTGAGTGAAATTACATACACAGGTGAGAGCAAAAACCCTAAATTGCCTCATTTTACTCCAAACTGGCCAAGACCTAGTTGAATTGAGCACACATCCAAGAGAAAAATAAAAATTCCATTTATAGGAAAAGATAAAACATTGCAGTTTTGTTTTAGCACATTTGAGTTAGTAAACTGTTGAATTTGTACCCATACAGATGTTAACACAGCTGGGTTCTCTCTCTGTCTCCTCCCCCCTTTTCAGATTGTTCAAATGGAAAAAAAGATTGTAAACCAAAAACAGATCTTCACAAAAATACAGGAGGCCAATAACCCTCGGAAACTGCAAAAACAGATCCACGTGTTGGAAACCCGTTTGAATCTCGTACGTAAACTGTTCTCTGTAGCTTTGCAAACGGCTCTGCCTCCCTTTGCACAGAGCAAAAACCAGCCTCTGAGGAGCTACTAGCAGATTATACCCACTTACTTGGTTGACTCAGGAGATGGTGCACTGTTGACTGAAAGAATGAATTAGTAAATATGTGCAGGATTTAATGACGAGGTCTGTAGAGGTCAGCTTTCTAGTTAGAGGTCTATACAGATTTTCTGTTTCTTCCTGAATCAATTCAGTAGTGCTTTGCTTCTTTAACATTGTACATCTGATCTCGGAAGCTAAGCAGGGTCGGGCCTAGTTAGTACTTGGATGGGAGACCACCTAGGAAGACCTCACGTGCTGTAGGCATAAAAAATAAAATAAAAAACAAGGGATTGTAAGCTGACAAGGTCTTTGCAATCTGTGAGGTCAGCCAAGGGTTGCCTCGCCTAAAAAAAAGAAAGAAAACTAACAGAAGCCTTACATCTGATCTTGGAAGCTAAGCAGGGTCGGGCCTGGTTAGTACTTGGATGGGAGACCACCTAGGAAGACCTCACGTGCTGTAGGCATAAAAAATAAAATAAAAAACAAGGGATTGTAAGCTGACAAGGTCTTTGCAATCTGTGAGGTCAGCCAAGGGTTGCCTCGCCTAAAAAAAAGAAAGAAAACTAACAGAAGAAGAAAAACATTCTACAAAGCACAGGACAGCCCCCACTACAGAGACTCACCCAGCCCAAAATGTCAGCAGTGCTGGGTTTGAGAAGCCCTGCTCTAAAACAGCCCCGTCCCAACTTTTTTCATGTCATCCACTTGTTGAGGAGACCAGGTCAGCTGTCCTGTAGAAAGTTCTACTTTCTGGATTTGGCTGGTTGTTCCTCATGGTATCATTTAGCTTGTTCTCATCTCCCCTACAATTACTGAAAACTAGAAGTTGTGTATAAAAGTCGTTGAGAAATCTGATATCCAGGAAAAGTAACTTGATGAAGGCCACTGTGCCAGTTGGTGGCCAACTCAAGCCTCTCACCCAGCACTTAAAACCACTGTTCTGTGGGCCTGGGTGGGGGGTGGGGTGAAGACCTTCCAGTCCTCTGGATACCTTCTGGGAGCTTCTTCAATGCCCCAGCACGGAGGCCCATTTTTGAAGCACAGCCCTCCCATAGGTCACCATACACTTTGACAAGATGCTGACCACTAACGCTAAACTCCGGAAGGAGATCGAGGACCTGCGGTACGAGAAGGCTGCTTATGACAACGTCTACCAGCAGCTCCATCGGCGCCTGTCGATGCAGAAGAAAACCATGAATACGGCCATTGAGCAGTCTTCTCAAGCCTACGAACAGAGGTGGGCTTTGGGAGAAACCCTCAGGGCAAAAATGTCTCTTAGCCCTGAGCTGAGCAACTAAATTGCTACTCTGGGCCACCACTACCCTCTGTGCTTGTGTTCAGGAACCTTAAATCATCATCATAACTCTGAGCACTGAATGTATGCCAAGCATGATGCTAGGTGCTCTGGGTAGTATTTCAACCCTCACAAGTGCCCTGGGAGTTATATCCCCATTTTACAGAGCAGGAAGTGGAGGCTTAGTGTGCCGATATGCTTACCTGAGATCCAGGCAAAGGGCAGGTGTGGTGGAGCTGAGGTTCACCGTGTCCTCCAGGCACCGCTGCCTCTAGTCCTAGACGGTCCTCAGTCCGGGCAATCTCCTGGCTTCACACTCGCACTGTGAAGAGCACACGTGTTGGAGTCAGCGAGACCCGGGTTTAATCCTGGCTCCGTCACTGCTGCATTGTTGTAGGACCTATTTAGGTGGTAGTGAAGAATAAATAATATATGTGCATAAGGGAGTGGCTGGGACATAGTAATCAACAAGTAGCAATGGTGCTGATGATGACGATGGTGATGTGCGTGATGGTGATGATGATGATAGAAAAATGACTTCCTGGGGGTGGTCTAGAGCTGGCAGCTCCTGACATTCAGGTGAAGAAGGTGGTTCCTCCACTCCCACACACCTTCATGATTAAGAGAAGTGATGGTCATTGGCAGAAAGGCCCCTGGACCGGTGGGGAGAGGGGAGAAGGGAGGACGCTCTAGACCCTCAGGCTCTGTGCCCACTTCATGCAGACTGGAAGCCATGGCTCGGATGGCGGCCATGAAGGACCGCCAGCAGAAGGACATCTCTCAGTACAACCTGGAGATCCGCGAGCTGGAGCGTGTCTACGACCATGAGACCAAGCTCAAATCCTTCCTGCTCTTCAAGCTAAATGACCGTATGGAGTTCGAGGAGCAGGCCAAAAAAGAAGAAGGTACACACCCCTGAGGGTACAGGGGACCAGGTCTTAAACCACGCTGAGAAGCTTCATCCCACGGATGGTGGGGAGTCAGTGTGTAAAGGGGTGATGTGGCCAGATGTGTCTTGAGAGATCCTTCTGATTGCCACGTGGGGGCCAAATCAGAGAGAGAAGATTGAATTCAGAAGAGCTGGGGCTATTGCAGCCATCCAGGCTGGAGAGAACAAGGCTTGGAGAACTTTCTTGGTTCTAATCCCATGAATTTGCCAAGTTCTGAGCCTCTCTTAGGCCCTCTGTTCTCAGAGCTTCCTCGACCTTATCCTGCTCAAATGTCACCACCTTTGAGAAGACTTCCCTGGCCGCCTAACTCCCCCATCACAGCACCTGATGGGTCCCCTCTGTTGCCCAGGCCCCAATGTTAATTAGATTTCTCTTCCTGTTTCCTTGGATATCTCTTCCTTAGATATTTTTGTCTTATTCCTCCACTAAAATCTTTGTGGGACAGAGATTTTGTATCCACAGAGCCCAGCACAATGTCTGGCACAGTAAGTGTTCAGTTAGATACTTGTAAATATCTAACTAAGGAGTGAAGCTCCTGCCCCATGTCCTGGGAAAGTCTCACCCCCGCCGCCCCAAGGCACAGTGTTAACAGCCTATAGCACATCTCTCTCCCTGGTACTGCTCTGAGCAGCTTTCTTGTCAGACTCACTGTTCTGGTTTTTTCTTTCTAGCTCTCAAGGCAAAGAAGCACAGGAAGAAGAGGAACAAGGGTGAGAGTTTTGAGAGCTACGAGGTGGCCCACCTCCGGCTGCTGAAGCTGACAGAGAGTGGGAACTTGAATCAGCTCATTGAGGAATTTCTGGCCAAGGAGGATAAGAACTTTGCTCGGTTCACCTACGTCACGGAGCTCAACAACGACATGGAGATGATGCACAAGAAGACACAGAAAATCCAGGTCAGGGCAGCTCTTCTTTTCTGGGCCCGAGGCTGGCCCACGCTCACAGCAGCCTTTTCCAAAGCGGGCTCCTCGGAACACTCCCTGAGACGCTCTGCTGCAGAAAGGGCCTCAAGGTCAGATCAGTTTGGGAGGTGCTGTATTTCCCCCAGTGCTCCCCCTATATACATACGTTTAAGGTGGTCATGTCCCCTCGCCTCAAGTGACATGTATACTCCATGGCATGTTTTATAATCCAGGGTTTGGTGAACTATAGCCACAACCAAATATGGCCTGTGGCCTGTTTTTGTACAGCCCACGAGCTAAGAATGGTTTTTATCTTTTTCAAGTGTTGTAAGAAAAAAAAATAAAAGAGGAATATGCAAGGTAAACCATATGTGGCCTGCAAAACCTAAAATATCTATTTCTGACCGTTTGCCTTAAAAACTTGCTGACGTCTGTTAATCACTAGCTTCACAGAATTGAGACAAGGTGGTCAATTCATCTTGGAGAGACCTGATGTACATGAGCATAGTAAAGGCCCTGACAAGTCCTGCAGTAAGAAACCTGTTTGCCTTTGTTGAACCCATGATTTCCCAAACTTAATTGGCAACCTAGACTATTTACTCCCCAGAGCATGCATAAACAGCCTTGAAACGGTCTGCACAGGTTAGAGTCTAAACTCCCTGGTGTGACACTCAGGTCTCTTCATAATATGGCTTCGACCAGTCGCTGCAAGCTCAACTCCCATCATGACCTCTAAGGCACCCTCTGCAGCAGCCCAACCAGCTGACCCGCACATTTCCTCCTCCGAGGCTTTCCTCTCAACAAACCCCTGCTTTTCTTCAGATTAAATACTGCCCATTAGTCCTTTCCCTGCATGAATGTCACCTCCTGTGGGAATTCATTATTCCTCCCTCCGAGGTCCCTGTGTTCTGTTTATCTGATGAAAGGAGCCACTTCCTTTTGTAATGTCACTGTGTTGTAAATGTGAGGCATGTATGCTGGCTATGTGCAAGTAGATAGTAACTAGATTTTGGTGAAAACATTTTAACTTGCTAGTGACGAATTAATTTTAATGAGGATTAGGAAAAATATAGCTTGCAGAGCAAACTCGTGACCTGAATATTATTACTCAGTGTGATAAGTAATAACGACAGTAAACAAATGATAAACATAGCAAAACAGAATTTGGTTGATATAAAGAAGACTATTAATAGATAATAATAACGTAGATAATAGTATAGGTGGCATGCGAAGTGGTGGAAATGGAGGTGGTTCTATCCGTTTGGGTTGTCACAGGAAACAGATGGCACAATCATATGAGTAAATCGAGGTGAGTTTTTTAACAGGGGTCATTTACAAAGGCCTGAGGAAATTAAGGGAGAGTGCAGGACCAGCAAGAAGAGAGGGCTGGTGAGGGGAGGGAGTAGTTTCTGGAATCGGGAGAGAGATGTGGAGAAGGCTGTCTGTGTGTCTTTCTGGGGGAGATGTGGCCAAACTAGTGACTTGCCAAGGTGTGAACATGTGCCTGCCCCCCAACCTCACGCTCCTTCCACCCTGTGATCTCCAGCTGGTGCCTCTCCGTGTCTGGGCCCACCCGGAGCCAGAGGGCCAGGTTTGGGACAAGTGTGCCTGATGAGAGATGGCCAGATTCCCGCCCTTTCTGGGTCTCAGCCTCCATCTGTAGAGTGACATACTTGGACTAGAGCAGTAATTTCCAAACTTTTATTTAAAAAAAATCTATAGAACATTTTTTGTTTAAACCCAGGCTATGAGGAAACACCAGTATTTAAACAGATATAATGGAGCAGTTCCAGATGAAAGGTGAAGGTGGGATGGGTGACCGGAGAGGGTGCCTGGGACCTTCCATTTTGCCTTCTTGTGGCACTGCTGCTCAAAGTAGGGTTCAGGTTAAAAAAAAAGTTAAAAACAATTAGGATCCTAACATCTGACTTCACCTCTACCTGGAGGGCTAGTGTCAGAGGTTGTAAACTGGATGAATGCTGCCTTCATTCTTCCTTTTCTTGGTTTTTCCCCCCCAAATTTAAAATTTATTAGTTGCCAACGTTTAAAAATCGGAATCTTTCACATGAAGATCTGGATTTCTGGTTCCTCCTGGAAAATCAGATCTGACAACTCCAGCCCACATTCCCCAGGGAAGCTGAGTGCTGCTTTTCCTGTAAACCCGCCTCTCCCTCCTTTACCAGAGCAGCTGGGTTTGAGTTTGGAACCTCCGGTTTAGGCGCTTCGCCACTGACCTCTGGTGGCCATTCCAAGTATTGCAGGGAAGATCTTTGAAGGCAGATCTGAAGGAAGGATGGAGAGATGATGCGTCTGGGAGTTGGCAGGACTCAGAATTCTCATTTTCCAGGAGGGAGCACGTTGCTCCCAGTGCAGTAATAGAGACAAGCCTAGCCGGGAAATGGCCCCCGGACTGGATCGACCTAGACCTTCCGCAGTCATCATGATGGTCCCTTCTCTCTTAGCTGCACAGCCAGTCTCTGATGTTAGGACGGGGGTGTCTGACGAGGGACAGGCAGGCCCCTGCCCTCGCTGGGCTTCAGTGGGTTTCCCCACTTGTAGAATGATGTTTGCACCAGAACAGTAGCTCCTGAGCTCCTTTTTGAAGTTACAGAAGTGGGCCTTTTGGGGCTTAAATAGAGCTGCAAATTCCTGTTGAATAAATCTTGAAAACGCTGATTTCCAATGAGAAGCCTTCATATTTTTTAAATCTTAGAAGACAAAGATATGCTCATTGTAGAAAATTTGGAAACTGCCTAAGGACAGAAAGAATTTTTAAAATCACCCATTATCCCGTTGCCTAGAGATAGTCATTGTTGATATTTTGATATATTTCCTTCTGACATTTTGGGGGGGGGAGTGATGCTTTTAAAACTTAACATAGTGATTATTAAATAGTATATGTAAAGTTGTGTATTCTAATGGAAAATGTGGGTTTTTTGTTTTTTGGTTTTTTTTGGTTATTCAGCCAGCAAATATTTATTGAGCACCTGTTATGTGTCAGATACTGTTCTGGTCACTGGTAGTGTGGCAGTGAACAAAATGAAAAAAAGCCCCGTCCTCATGGAGCTTCTATTCTGGCAGGGAGAAACAGATAATAAACAACAATAAACAAGCCTAATAAATACAAAATTACAGAGTATATCAGAAAGTGAGAAGTGGTGTGCATAAAAAATGAAATGGAGCAGGTTAAGGGGGGTTCTGGAGCCAGGTGAGGCCATGGGCCGTTGAGAAGTTAAGATCTGATCAGACTTGTAGGTGAGGGAATAAGCCGTGCAAAGGTCCTGAGGCAGGAAAGTGCAAGCGGGCTAGCGTGCCTGCAGTGGAGAGAGAGAGAAGGGAGGGGGAGGAGATGAGGTCAGAGAGGGGAGAGATGTTGTGAAGTTGGGGAGAACACATTTGCAGAAGAGTTTTTGGTAGTTACTCTGAGAAGCAGGAGCCGTGGGAGAGTTCTGGGCAGGAGAGAAACACCACCTATTCAGATTACCAACCCAGTTAGGAAAAAACTAAAAAGTATAAATAAGAATCTCACATCAAGAAGAATCCCATCACCTGGGCGTCACATTTATTAATTGTTTTGGTAGAGTTTCTTCTTGGGTTGTTTTTCCTTTAAAGATGGGAAGGCTCACTTCCTTTAAATATTTTTTCCAAAATAAAATTATTATTTTTGTGATTAGAAAGATAATATATGTCTGTGGAAATGTAATGCAGAAAAATATAAAGAAAAAAATACAAGTCACCAAAAACATCATCACTCCAAGTTAATGCCCTTTAATATTTTGGCGACATTGCTTTATGAAGGCAGCATGCCCTCAAGCCTGTGCCTGCACGCACACAGACACACACACACAAACACACAGACACACCCAGGTGGACCCCCACAGACATACACACATACACACACACACACACACACACATGCACACACACATCTAGATACCCATGTATAGAACTGGGCTCATACCAGACAGTTCAGGCTGTTTTGTAAACTTCTTTCCCCAACAATTCATCATAGGTACCTCCCAACATCATCTATGTTCTTTTTAATGGCTTCTGGGGACCCTGGATGCTCTGTAGTAGAATCACAAGATGCTTCTTAAGAATGCAGGCTCTGTCCCATACCTACAAACCTAGATTCTTAGAGAATGGGCCAGGAGTCTGCATTTTAACAGAATTTTTATTTGAGACCCTTTCCCTCCATGATATGGATGGACCATCATTGATTTAACCGACTCCCTATCAGTAGACATTTAGGTTGTCCCTAACGGGGGCCATTGTAAATAATGACACAGTGGACAACCTTGAGCAGCCACCTTTGCCCACTTGTCCTGTTATTTCCATAGGACAGATGCCTAGAGATGGACTTGCTCAGTCAGAAGCTGTGTACCTTTTCTACCTGGATGTGGTGGTCCAGCCCAGGGGTTCCCAGATCTGGTCCCTGCACCAGCAGCGGCAGCATCCCCTGGGACCTTGTTAGAAATGCACAATCTTGGGCCCCACCCAGACATACTGGATCAGATCCTCTGGGAGTCGAGCCCAGCATTCTGTTTTCACAAGCTTCCAGGTGATTCCGATTCATGCTAGAGTTTCAGAACCCCTGCTCTGGGGCTATTACCATAGCCACTAACCATATGTGGCGATTTAAGTTTAAATTAAATAAAATTTTAAAATTAGCTCCTCAGTGGCACTAGCCGCATTTCAAGTGCTCAATACCCACATGTAGCTAGTGGCCAGTTCTCGACGGTGTGAATAGGAAATTGCCACCGTCGCAGAAAATTCTATTGACCACACCATTCTAGACATTTCTCCAAGTTAATGAACCATCCACCCTCCCATGCCCTTCCTTTTAATTAGGAAGCATCAGAAAAAACCTCCAGGGGCATAAGAGGGGCTCAGGGGATCTGGGGCTCTTTGAATTGGATGATTTCAGTTCTCATCAACTCCTCGAGGCGCAGGCTTACTTTCAGGCGTGGCGGGGAGGGGAGCACCCACTTTCCCTCACAGTCTGTTTCTCTCCCGAGCAGAATGAGATCATCCTCTTGCAATCCCAGCAGAAGTCGTCACAGGAGGACAGCCGCTCTGTCCTGAGACAGCTGGAGGTAAGACCAGGGTGAGGAGCGAAGGTCGTGGGAGCGTCTGTTGTCTGTTTATCTGTCAGGCAGCCTGTCAGTTGGTTCCCAGGGAGAGTAAGATATCTGCCCCATGACTGTCTACTGGCCTGAGTCAAATCCTGACAGGTCCTAACCCTTTGTCACAGGCAGCCTCTGCTACAGGTATTGCTGCAGAATTTTGTCCCAAGGCCTCTTTGTCTGTTTTAAGTATTATTCCACTTCAGTGAGCCTCACCCAGGCTCTTGTGCCTATAAAGTCATCTCAGACTGGCAAATTCCAGACAGATCTCTGCTTCAGTCTTTTCTTCTCCCCCTGCCCTGTCCTGTCTATGGCCTGTTCTCAATCGATAATAGTAATTACAAACATCTCTTGAGCAATTACTACATACCAGGCACTAAACTAAGTGCTTTGCTTGCCCTATCTCATTTAATTCTTACAACGGCTCTATGAAGTAGGTGCTGTGATCTCTCCATTTTGCAGATGAGGAAACAGGTTCAGAGAGGTAAAGTCTCTTGACCAACATCATGGAGCTGTATGATCTTTGCATTGTATTTAGCTGCTAATAACAGGGACCCAAAATAATAGTGGCCTAGGCAAGATAGAAGTTTATTTTCTTTGTTAAGAAATGAGTCTGGAGATAGGCACTTCAGCGCTGGTCAGGATGTCATTGGTGACCCAGGCTCCTCCTTTCTGGTTTGCCATCCTCAGTGTGTGGCTTACCTTCCCAAGGATGCCTCATAGTTGTATGGCTGCCGATGGTCCAGCCATACGTATATATTCCAGGTAGGAAGAAAGTGGGCGAGGCATTTACAAAAGGCCTTGCTAGCTGAGTCAGCAGCTTAAAAGTTCCTCCCTGAAGTCTCAGCCATGAATGACTTAGGTATTTGTACCTCACTGGCCATCCCTATTGCCAAGGAAGGTTGGAAATACAGCTTTTAGCTGGGCACATTGCAACCCCAAATACAATCAGGGTTTTGTTATTAAGGTGTAAAGGGAGAATGAATAGCAAATGTCTGACAAAGATATGAACTCAGAGAATTGACTGCAAAGTCCCATTTTAATCCAATAATTCCTCTCCCAGGGAGCTTGCTCCTGAGTCATGTCCCTTCCCTTCCCTTTGACTTATTTCCATTCTTGGCATTTGCCTGGTCGACTGCAATGGCAGTGCCATTCTCTGGCAGGCCACTGCAGGGCAGCAAAGGACAGGCTGCACACTGAGTCTCTGCTGCTCAGAGAGGCCTCCCCCAGGAGTCTGAGTATGGGGAATTAGCCTTTCCAGGCAGGATCCAAGTCCAAAGAGACCCTCCCCAGGCCGGGCTCATGCCTGGGGTCCCATTTCCTCGGCTCAGGGTCACTTGGCATCCAGATGCTTTCTCGGGTTTGGGACTGGTGCTGCTCTGCATCGCGGGGGCAGCTTGGGGAGGCTGACCAGGAAACCCCAAGCATCTTCCCCACCTTTGGCTGAAGTCCTTCCATCAACTTTTTGTTCCTCTGGCTTTGACATGACTTCTGGAGGCTCCTTTCAAATGCAAATGCTCTTAGGGGAGAATTTGTTTTAACAGCAATGGGCTCACAAGGGGCTTCATAGCTCCTGCTAGGATCACTTCCATCTGCTCTGTTCCTGGGACCTTTCCACACACCTTCCATTCATCACCTCCTGCCCCTCTGGGGGAAGTGGTGGGGCCAGGCCCTTAATGGGAGGTTTTTGCATAGGAGTGAAGCTACCAGGCCCTGGGAACAAATGCTTGGGTGTGATTCTCAGATCTAAGTCACTTCCTAGCTGTGTGACTTTGAGAAAGTGATTAAACCTCCCTGAACCTCAGTAAAATTGGGGTAATGATCATCCTTATTTCATAGGGCTGTTACTTCCACCTTGTTACTAATAATTGCCCAAGGTTAGGCACTTAGACACCTTGATACAGGGGAGCTAAATACAAGTTCACTTTTCTCCTCTGACTTTAATATTCCTCATCTGAAAACTGGGACAGTTGCAGGGATGAGTTGAGATGGTGCATATAAAGTGCCTGGAACATTTTAGGTGTTGGACCTGTGTTATTACCATCACATCAAGCTCCCCTTCCTTCCCCTCCCCCTTTTTAAAAAATCATGTGAGCTTTTAATGCATCTATAGAATGAGAGGGCAGGCAGCTCTTGCTGTCATGTGAGGCAATGCAGCCCTGGGAACTGAATATTCTAGTAGTCAGGATAGAGGAAGCTGCAGGGTGTGCTGGTTGAGAGACAGGTTGAATCCTGGCTTCATTCTCCTGGCTCTGTGCCTCAGAGCCTCAGTTTTCTTGCCTGGAAAATGAGGGTGTGGATGGCGCTGACGCCTTGGAATCGTTATTTGGGACAGAGCATGCAGAGCCCCGGGGACTGGGGCCGGTCTTCACAAGGCCCACTCCCCCTCTGCATTCTGAGCACTCAGAAAGGCCGGAGGCATTTGGAGCACTCACACAGAGCAGTGATTCTCAGCCCAGGCTGCCAGTCAGACTCACCTCGGAGGCTTTACAGTTCGTGGTGCTCAGGCTGCACCCCAGGCCAGTGACTCTGAACCTCTGAGGCTGGGGTCTGGGTAGCAAATATTTTAAAGCTCCCAGGTATTAGTAACTTGAAGCTGAGATTGCGATCCAGTGGGCCTGCAGAGGTTCTCAGACTTCATCGAGCATCCAAATCACCTGGACATTTGTTAAAACGCAGATTGCGGGGCCCAGCCCCAGAGCCTCTGGTTTAGCCTGTCTGGACTGCAACCCAAGAATTCACATTTCTAACAAATTCTCTGGTGAAGCTGACTGGGACCCCACTTTGAGAAACACTGGGCTAGAGCAATGTGTTTAAACTGTGAGTGGTGAAATCAATTGTTGTATCGCAACCAGCATTTAAAAATAACGACAGAAAAGAACAGAATAGAAAATATTGGGATACAAAATAAGAATATGGATTTGTTAAACTTTAATTTCATTCGATTTGTAAAAAATTAATTTCATTTAATTTCATAAACACACATACACACATGTATGTAGGTAGGTAGGTATGCATTGGGCTGCAATGTAAAATGTATTTCTTCCTGTGGGCCACCATTTTTAAAAAGAGCCACCAGCTTTTAAAAAACACTGTAATCCAGTACCCATGTAGACATATATACATATACATATGTAAAACAAAACTTACATTAAATAATTACTTGCCCTTATTACCTACAATGCATACTAGTATTTTTCTCTGCCTTTCTTTCTGTTCTATTTAATTTTTTAAGGTCGATTGAGGCTCGTTAAATTGATCTCGCACCCTCTCTGAGATTTGAAAACTGTAGTTCAGAGACCCTAACTCCAAAGGGTCCTAAACCCTCCTCCCCACTGAAAGTCTTCATGGGTGGGCTGAGCCCAGGGGGGCAGCCTTGCTGACCTGGGGTGGGAATCGGGGTCTGCCACCAGGAGAAACTAAAGAAGACCACGGAGGAGGCGGATAGGTATGAGAACAGCTACCAGGAGATCAACAGGACCTTGGAGAATCTCAAGGGCTCGGTAGAGAATTTGTTTAAGAAGATAAATTGTGACGCCACCAAGATCCTGGTGCAGTTAGGGGAGACGGGGAAAATCACCAACGCCAACCTTCCACAGTACTTCGGTGAGTCAGTCGGGGCCCACCGAACTCATGGGAACTATTGCCAGAGCCTTCTGTGACCAGGCACGAGGACTTGTTCTTTTGGTAGTAGTGAGCCCGGTGGTGAAGCGTGTGGGCATGGATTCCAGCCTGCCTGGGTCCAAATCCTGGTTCTGATCTACTAGTTGTGTGACTTTGGGCAACTTTCTCAATCTTTCTGTGCTTTAGTTTTTCATTAAAAAAAAAAAAATGAGATGGAAACCAATATCTACCTTATAAGGTTGTTGGGAGGATTGAATAAATTAATAGTTCTTGGAGAAAAACTATGTGATCATCTCAATAGATGAAGAAGCAGCATTTACTGCAATTCGACATTCATTCATGATGAAAACTCTCAACAAACTCAAACTGGAAGGAAACTTTCTTAGCCTGGTTAAGGGCATCTACAAAAACACGTACAGCTAACCTCATACATAATGGTGAAAACCGAATGTTTTTCTAAGATCAGGAATAAGGCAAAGATGTCTGCTCTCTTCACTCTTACTCAGTATTGTATTGATTTTCCTAACCAAAGTGACAAGGCAAGAAAAATAAATGAAAGGCATACGAATAGGAAAGGAAGAAGTACAAGTGCTCAGACCAGTGCCTGGCATGTAGCAAATGCCTGTTAACTAAAACACACATTTGTAGTCACAGGCCCTGAGCTCAGAAGAGGGAGGGAGGAATGCACCTATAGATCATTACATTGCGGTGTGAATGGCTTCCGCTGCTCTTACAATAAAACCTAAGGGTCCTAATGATACAATCTGTATTTCGGAGTTTCCTACCAGCTTCAGTGATTTGCTAGAAGGGCTCACAGACTCAGCTCATAGTTGTACTCAGGGCTGTGATTTATTACAGAAAAGGGATACAAAGCAAAATCGGCAGAAGGAAAAGGGGCATGGGGTGAGGTCTGGAGGAAACCAGGAACAGTCGTCCAAGGGTCCTCTCCCAGTGGGGTCACATAGGATGTGCTTCATTCCCGGGGCAATGAGTCGTGACAGCACATGTGAAGTGGTGTCAACCAGGGAAGCCTGTTGGAGACACTTGCCCAGGGTTTTGACTGGAGGCTGATTACCCAGGCACCTCCAGCCTGGCACGTACCCAAATTCAGACTCCCAGCAAGAAAAGCAGATGTTAAGCATAAACCACATTTTTTTTGTACAAACAGTTTGGGCATAGTGTGAGCTGCTCTTCTCAGTTACTGGGGGTAGGATCCTGCTTACAATCCATCTCCCTGCTGCCCGTCTGCGGCCAGCCTGGTGAGCAGGCCCTTCATGAGACAGCGGTCAGGCTGCTGCATTCACTTTTTCCTGCCCACAGCCTATTGGGGTCTTCAGAGCCTGACCCCTGCTTACATTTTTCATCTCCTCTTGCTCTCCCTCCTTGCTCACCACCTCCAGTCACACTGTTCTCCTCTCTATGCTTCCAACCCTTCCCGCAGTTCACTCCTCAGGGCCTTTGCATGGGCTGTTCCCGGCATTCTCGTCCAATGCTCAGATTTCAGTTTAAATGCCTTCTCTCCAGCAAGGCCTCCCTCTCTGCCCCATCTGAAGCTGGTTCCCCACCCCCACTATTTATTCTGTCTCACGGCAGTTCGCTTATTTAACATTCACCCAGTTCGTCTCCGTGTACAAATAGTTCTCACCATCTCAATCTGTGAGGTTCTTGAGACGTGATAGCAAGTTCCAGATGCAAATACTTGTGGTCCTTGATTTACAGAGAGAATAGCAGCAGTATGGGTAGTATGACTTTTTTTTTTTTTTTTTAATTATCCAAATCCAGTAGTTGCTGAATTCAGATAATGAGCATCTGGATAGTGAGGGAGACAAGTATGGATTTGTTGAGTGTGTGTTCCTCTCCATCCTCCTGTACACACTGAAGCTTAAGAGCTTCGTCAGGACAAGGACTGCATCTTTGATGTCGTTTTGTTTTTCCTTCATGCACCTATAGCCTCTAGCACAGTGCCTGGCACGGTAGGCCTCCAGTCATCATTTGTCGAATGAATGAATGAGCATATGAATGAATGAATGAATGAATCTGGTGACTGCATGGAGCTAAGGAACACAGCAGGAGGGCAGCTTCCCCAAACTCGGCAGGTCAGAGAAACATTCCCGCAGGTGGCAAGGCTTGACCAGAGTCTTAAAACGCCCATAGGGATTATTCAGGGAAGGGTGTAGGTAAAGGCATTTTAGGCAGAAGGAACAGCATGAGCAAAGGCCCGGAAGCCTGAGGCAGAGAGAGCACTGAGTAAAGGTCAATAGTTTAAGTCAGGGCTGCCCGTGCCTCTCAACTTTTGGTGTTTCTCAACCTTCTTTTCATTATTGCCTCCTACGGAGCCTTTTTAGACATTCTTTTCCTAAATGCCCCTCCTCATGAAATTTTAATACTGTTGATATACTGTATAGGTATTTTTGTCCTGTGTATCTGTATTTTATACCTTACAGTGTCATGAGCTTTTTATTTTTGCTTCTCAAGAACCAAAATTTGCCCTCTCAGGGTGGTACTGCCCCCTCATGAATTTATGGTGTAACTCAAGAGAAAACCTTTGTCCTTATAGGAGCTCATGACACTCACTTCCTGTTCTTTCCCTTCCTCTCCAGTGGGGGGCGCCACTGGAACCAGGTCTCTGGGCAGCCATCCTGGTTCTTTTGTTTTTTTCCCCAGCCATCATTGAAAAGACAACCAACGACCTGCTGCTGTTAGAGTCCTACAAGCGAATCCTGGACATAGAAGGGGCAGAAACCGAGCCCCCGCCAGCCTTTGTCAACCCCTTCTGGGGCGGCTCTGCCTTCCTCAAGTACGCAGAGCCCATCAAGGTCAACCCACCAGTGCTTGGGGCTGACCCCTTCCATGACAAATTGGATGAAGGTGAGTTCTCTCTCTCCCTATCTGTGGGGGTCGCTGGGTCGGGGTTCTTAGGGAGCCTGTGTCCATGAGGATCTGTAGCATTGAGCCTCAGTTACCCTCTTTTTATGAGCTTCATGGGCCCATCTGTTCCATGGGTACTGTCTTGGCCGTGGCCACGTGATGTGGTTTGCTTAGGGATGCTTCTGCTTACCATGCGGTTGCCCAGCCATGAATCCTGAAGTTGAGTTTTCCTGGATATTGTTTTAAAAATCACGATTACTTTGTGGCCATTTAAAATGACCTTAAAATGTCCCAAATTTCTAAATTGGCAGGTAATGGACTCATAAGATTAGCTGATCCTGTCTGTCACCCTCACCCTTGAGTCTCACTCTACCCATGACCTCCCTTGGCCCAGCCCCATCCATGGTTGAAGCAGCAGCGGCTTGGTTCCTGCTAGAAGCCTTAACTGGGGCCCTTATGGTCTTCCTAATTTTCGGAGGCAGAAGCTCATGACACGCCCCCTCTCAGCAGAAACCAGCCCTTCTCTCTGAAGGTGGGGATATAATCAGGCCCACCTGGTTTCTGGAGGAAAGTTTGGTGACACCTGTGGAAAGCCTGAGCCATGGATATACCTGTTAGGCCTATAATTTCACCTGTGGGAATTGGTCCTTCAAGAAAAACTTATTTAAGGTCTAAGATGAAGGTAAGAGAATGTTCAGTGCAGCTCCAAACTGGAAACGCCTGAAATGTCCACCCATTGGAAACTGATAAATAAGTTATGGCTCACTCATCCTTACAGTGGAATACCATGTAGCCTCTAAAAGGAGTGCAGTGGTATATAATACATATGTATATATTCAGTGGTTCCAAACAGGAGTGATTTACCCCTCAGGGGACTTTTGGCGGTGTCGAGATATTTTTTGGTTCTCACACCTGGGAGGAAGCCCCCCTGGCCTGCTGGTGGCCCTGGATGCCGCCAAATACCCTACAGTGCACAGGACAGGCCTTCACAACCCTGATGTATAATAGGGAAAGGGAGATAAATGCGCTGAGAGAGGGAAGAAAGGAGGAGGAGGGGAAAGAGGAGGGAGGGAGGGAAAGAAGTAGAGAGGGAGAGAAGGAGGGAGGTGTCTCGATTATGCATGTGAGCACAAAGGACGAGTCGGCTGACTTACAGTGGATATTTCTCAGTGGTGGTTTGCAGAAAACTTTGCATTTCTAAGTTAAACAAATTTTGTATTGTTTAAAATTTTCTTTTACAGTGACCTTGAGTCACTTTAGTAATCAGAGAAAAAAATAGATTTTTTAAAAAAACTGCCCCACTTCTCTGAGCAGCGTTTCGGATGTGCGGGTGTGCCAGGGGTGAAGGGTGAGCGCTGCCAGCACGTGTGCACGCGTGCGCCTGCCGGATGAGCCGAGGCCACTGGCACCTGCGGGGGCTGGAATCTGAGTCTGTGTCAGCCACCTTACACAGCTTCCCTTGGCATTTTGAGCTCCTAAAAGAGGGGGCTGGCGGGCCACAGATGCTGGTAATGCCGTCCTCACAGGGTCAGGAACTTACAGAAGATGTCTTCACTTCCATCCAGGGGAGTTTGGTAGACACTGGGCTCTCGCTCGGCTCACTAGCCCCCATGGTTTGTATGTGTGAATTAGAAGAGGCACCCCTCTGGGTAGATTCGTGAGGAAAAGGTGCCCCTTATGGTAGACATGGCTTGGCAACCAAGTGGGGGCTGGATTTCAGCCCCTCCAGTCATCTGTCTCTCCCTGGTCACCTTTGTGCAGTCTACATTCTGAACAACTGTACATGGTGGCCCTGTGTCCTTGAGATTAAACCAAACTCACCTGGGAGAAAAAGGTTATTGTCTGGGCATCTCTGAGAAGTTCATCTCTGCCCATCCTCCCCCTCCGTGAACCCGAGAATGTTTGTACTCCAACCTCCAGCATTGTGGGGGAACCCTAAACCAGGCTTGGGCCTCCTCACCTTAGGTACCTGTGAATGAGGCAGAGAGTACTGTCCCTGGGAGGGAAGTGTGTTGGGCTTGCTTTCCACACTCCTCACCTGAGTCCTCTGTTTGGCACAGTGGAGCAGCCCCTGGACCACGACAGCCTTCGGCAGATGGTGCTCACAAACTACAGCATGAAAGTCTCGAAAAAGGACTCTCGGACAACAATACACGCGGACGGCATCTCTACGAAAGGGGATGATCTGAGGCCTAAGAAGAAGATCGCATTCTGAAGTGGATGGGGCCACATTTGTACTGTAACTAGAGAGAATAAATGTTTTGTTCCGTAACCCTCATGCCCCTGCACACTGCCTGCTGGGACACAGGGGCCTGGGAGCCACCCAGGCCTGGGCAGAGGAGCAGGAGGGGTTGTGTTCAAAAGCCAGCTCAGGAGGCAGCGGTTGTGTGAGGTCATCCTGGCCCCTGAGAACCTGAGATGGTGATCAGCATAGATCAGCCCTCACCATGGTCCGCCAGATGAAGCAGGGACGAGCGAAGTGTAGGGGTTGGAATAACACGGCATGTGGCAGCAGCTCACAGGGAGGGGCTGGGAGCCACAGAGCTTCAGTGTCTGTGTGTGTGTCTGCGTATTTCTGTGTGTCTTCATATCTGTGTGTATGCTGTGGATGACTGGCACTGTAGAGCTGTTTCCAGGACATCTTGCCCGGAACCATATGCTGCACTTAGTGACCTGAGCTGGGGTCCCATGCAGGCCCCCTGGAGCCTGGCCACATCTCTGCAGAAGCCCCAGGTAGCAGGTTCTGGGTGTGCGGGACATGGGTCATTGAAGTGTGCAGAACATGGTGGATCATCATGGCTGGGGGACGCCCTGGGTCCCTGCCTGCCCAGCTTGCTGTTAGCTTTGAGAGGAGTCCTATTTCGTGGCAGCTAGGGGTGAGGGCAGCTACCAGGGGGCTGACCTGAGCCCCACCTGCAGGGGCGCTGTTGTTATTCTTGAGCCTTGAAGACTCGCTCCAGTTCTAGCTGTTCCAACTGTCTGGACCTCGTCATTCCTTCTAGGTGACCCCAGCTGCCACTCCCACCCCCAGTGTTGGCTCTTTGCTCCCATCACCCCAGTTGCCTTGGCTGTGTCCTGATTTCTTGGGATTCTCTTGAGAATGAAGAGTGCCTGAGGTCTGCTCCGCCTTCTTCCTGAAAGACACCTGGATCTTCTCTTGGGGAATAGCCATGTGGCTCAGGATGAGGGTTAATCATGTGACCCAGCTCTGCCAATCAGAGCACTGTATCTCTTTCAGGGTTGGTTAGGTACCCCATAGGCCCTGTTCTTGGATTTGTGTGGAGCTAGGAGAAAGAAAAGTGCCTCCTTTCCAGTAGGATCACTGAGGGGATAGATGGGAGACATTCGGCCACTGAGAGCCGAGCAACGTGAAGGAAAGCAGAGCAGTGGAGAGGCCTCCTCAGTTCTGCTGGCACCGTTTGAGCTCCTGGATGCAGCTATGCCTGAAGCCCTTGGACTTCTTAATTATGTGAACCCATTTGTTTCCTAAGTTGGAATTCTTACAGCTTTAAATAGTGAATGCTTTAACAATGACTTTGGTCGCTCAAAAGCAAGTCAGTTCATGCCCAGGCCTAGTACTTGGACCTCAGACAGGGTCAGAAGTCAGTACCCCTCCCCCAGTTTGCCAGGAGAGAAGTACAGCCAAAGTCTGCTTTATCTAAAATTAGAAATTAACCTCTTAAAATGAACAGTTATGATTTTTTTTTTTTTTTTTTACCAAAATGAGCCATATTGTTAGCATGCCTGTGAGGCCTCTTCCTCCTACATTGTCGTGGGGCCTAAGTGCATCTGCGGGAGAAACATTCCAGTGGCATCCTAAAGGAAAGGGTGTCATGGCAGCCGGGCCCTACAAACACCTGAGCTCCTTGGAAGAAAGGGCTCTGGTCCTCTAGTTCACATTCCAGTAAAATATGGCCCTTGATAGACATAGTCCTGAGTAGCTGCAAAGGTCTATTTTAAATAAAGAGTCACTGAGATTTAATAATGACAGCAGGGCCCTGACTAGCTCACGCCCTGCCTTTGTGGGAACTAGCAAAGTGCCTTCTTACTCAGAGCACATCTGTCAGAGAAACACTGAACGAGTATGTGATCTCCTGTTTATTCGAGCATGGCCTCTGGATGGATTTCCATCTGCGGGACGTGTGGCCACGTGGCATCTATACGCCACCCCGGCTGCAGAGAAGATGGAGGTAGGTAAATGAGGCAGCCACACAGCTGGCGGGCAGGGGCAGGGGTGGCGGCGTCACTCGGTGAGAGCAAGAGCCACCCTCCCCTGCAAAGACAAGCCCAGGTCAGGCAGGGGCCCCTCCCTCAGTCCTTTTCTTCTCCATGGGTGATGATGTGCACCAGGTTCTTATAGTCCAAGTTGCCGGTCACGTCGGGGGGGAAGGCGGCGAACATCTGATCAATCTGCAATGAACCAGCAGGACGTGCTGAGGATGACGGGAGAGGAAATGGGAGGGTGGGCTGTGTTCGGGGGCAGGCCTGGGTCGGGGTACAGTTGGGATGGGGTGTAATAGGGTCATCAGGGAGAGTGGGGTGTGGTAGATATGGAGACATGCCACTTAGATCCCCTCCAGAAAGGCCTTGTCACTCAGTTGCTGCAGAGACGCGGGACCCGAAGTCACGCCTCCCTGGGGCAGCCCACAGACAACCTGACTAGTGTGCGGCCTGGCCTGGGACCTCTCCCAAGGACTGTTACAGCGCCAGGGGGCATCGACGGAGACACTCTTTGGGCCTGAATCTCGGGCCACTGTCTCTCTCTGCGCCCTCCTGCTTCCTTGCCCTTCCTTCCACAGGTGCTGACCCCAAAGGCCGCCCTGCAGGGACGTTTCTGGGAACCCGACCTATGACAGGTAAAGCAGGATCGCAAACTCCTGTGCGCAGAGGGTGCCGGGTAGGGGTATAAGGGAGCAAGGTGGGCCTGGTGGGGACTGTGGCTAAATGGAGACCCACAACCCATCCGCAGAGGTGACAGCTGCTCAGGGCCAGCTAAATGTGGCCACACAGGCAAGCAGGTCAGACTCTGAGGGAAGCTGATTCTTTGGGGGGACACTAGACATCTTGATTTTCAAAAGAACATGCGATTTCCACATTTTAAAAGTATTGGCTAATTAGTTTCAAAAAAACATACTGACTATTGATAGCTAGCACTTAACATTGTCCTTATCATGTGTCAGCAGTTGATACGTATTAATTCATTTCATTCTCACAATGTACTATGAGGTAGGTTCCGTTACTGTCTCCACTTTACAGATGAGGAAATTGAGTCAGAGAGAGGTTAAGTAGTAGCTTGTCCAAAGTCACAAAGCTGGTAGGAAGTGAAGGCAGTTGAGTTTTGGAGGGAAAAATCTAAATAAAATTTTTAGTGAAATGTGGAACTTGATAGAATCAAGCCTGAGGAGGGGTTATTTTAAATAGACTCCCTGAGGTTCAATAATAATATTGACAAGACTGTTGCTTGTTCATACAGGACCTTTGGCTAATTAGCATAAGTGTCCCCTCCTCCAGGCACATTACTGCCACCTGCCAAAAAAAGTCATATATTCTGATTTTTTTTAAAAAATTGTAACGAGACACTTTACTGCCATCTGCTGGAAAACAGTCGCAACCAATACATACTCTTGGATGTATATTACCAGAACGGCATCCAGGAGAATTGTGCAGTGCACGGCCTAGACAGCAGGACGTGGTGCCCTGCGCGCCACCCTTACCCCATCAGGAAGTCGATGCTCTAACCGGGGCTCCATGCATTATGAGGAAGGTAGACCTGGGGTCAGACAGATCTGAGTTTGAATCCAGGCCCTGAGATTATCATTAGTGCTTTCCTTTTAGGCAAATGACTTGACTTTCCTGGGCCTCAGTTTCCCCATCTATAAAATGACACTAATGCTAATCCCTACCTCACAGGGGGATGAGAGAATGAAGTGAGATAAGGGCCCAGTAAACAAGAGCAGGTTCTCTCTTGGTGTGGGGTCAGAGGTCTTTTAAGAGAGAGACAGATGAAGTCCCCAGAAGGGTAGTGTCAGGAGCTGGGGTGCAGAGAATGGCCAAAGGGCCTTGTTACCTCCTCCTTGGAAAATCTCTCCGCCTGCGTGGTCAGCATCTCCTTAATGCTGCAGAGAGACAGGAGCAGGTGTTGGTGACAGGCACGTGTAAGGCGAACAAGGCCCCCCACAACCTCCCCCACAGAGCCTACTCACTAATCAGCCTTGAGCACCCCTTTGCCTTCAGGATCAAACACTTTGAACGCATTGAGAATGGTCTCCTCGGGGTCTGCCCCTGAAACAGAAAACGGTTGAGACGTGCCAGGAGCGGCTGGGAACCTGTGGTCTCCCAGGACAAGTCCCTAGTCCCCCCAGGATGGGGGACCAGAGCAAGGCTGTTTTGCTTGGAGGAAAGATCCTGCCTTCCTCTGAGCATTGAGCCTTGATATTTCGAAAGAGTGGGCCAAGAATCCAGTTATTTCTGAGCAAACCCAAGGTCAAACGTGGATCTAGATTTAGACAGATTGAGATTTGAATCCTGACTCCACCTGTTAGCTGTGTGGCCACAGGCAAATGACTTTCTGTCTCTGAGCCTTGGTTTGCCATTTGTAGATGGGATGAGAATAGACCCCACCTCCTGGATGCTGTTAAATGAGGTGATGTATGCAAACGAAGTGCTACCATGAGATCAGGCTCGGATACACCTTGGAGCAATGTTAACTGCTATTTTTATTCTCCCCGCCCCAAAAGGTGAAGACATAAAGACAGACAGAGAGAGAGAGAGAGAGAGAGAGAGAGAGAGAGAGTGATGCACATGAGCTTACCCTTCAGTTTCTCCCCAAACATCGTTAGGAACACCGTAAAGTTAATGGGACCTGGAGCTTCCTTTATCATGTCATCGATTTCCTCATTTTTCACATTCACACGCCCTAGGGCAGGAAACACACACTCAGGGCCTCCGAGCTGGTACAGAAACAGCTCTTAGGACACTGGGATTTGCTCTTGTAATTTCACTTCAGGGAATCCAGTCTAGGAATAATCAGAGACGGAGTAAATGGGCCAAAGATTCACGGGAGAAGATGTTCTTGACAGTGTTATTTATAATAGCCAGACAACTGGAAGCAGCCCAAACATCCAATGTGGGAGGGGTTAGTTATTTTTAAAACAGTATCTTCAGAATCTGGAACACTTTATACAGATATTTAAATATTTTACTCGAATGAGAAATGCTCATATACATTAGCTCTCCTAGCCGGAGGTGGGAGAGACAGATCAGAATCACTGGAGGGCACTTGTTCAAGTTATCTCCACTATACCACTATTCTGCTATACCTGCTCTAGCCCTTGCCACAAGCCCATATAGGACAGGATCTTTTTGAAAATTAGAAAAAGACAACCCTTCTTAAGATAATTTCTGTTTTAAATACAAAAATCTACAGTGGCTACAAACATGAATAGTACTCTGTAGAACTGGGCAGTGCGTGACCTGTGCTGTTGTTCACGGTGTCCCTGAGTCCTGGTGGCACTAGGGCGGTGGCGAGTGGTGGCAGGTTAGATGTGTGTATTTTGAAAAAGCTCCTCACACTCAAGCCCACACCGTCGACATGTTAAATTTTAAAAAGCTAAATATAAAATAGAATGATTCCAATTATTTAAAAAAACAGAACCCCACCACCCAGATATATCTAGGAAGACCCTAGAGGCTGAAATGTTAGCATGGAATGTGGCCTAATAGGTAATGTTTATACTTTTCTAAATTTTCCAAGTTTCCTATTGTGAGCTGGCATTGCATTCAAAATTACACACACACACACATGAAAGTTATTTTAAAAGAAAAATAAAAGATATGTGAAGACGAAGATTAAACCCTTCTTTCCTATCCTCTGAAATTTGTCTTAAAGGCCAGTTGTGGTTGAGCTGTTTCTCTGGAAAATGACAAGCTCTTCACCTTTGCAGGGGTCCCACCACCCGCCCCTTGTGGGCATGGGATGAGGAGGACCCTCCTGCGGCCTGGAGGGCATGGTGACTTACCGAGAGCAGCAAAGGTGTCCCGGAGATCGTTCTTGTCGATGAAGCCATCCCTATTCTGGTCCATGATGGTGAAGGCCTGTGACAGGGAGGTGGTTGGCTAGTCAGCCTGGGAGAAACTGGGCGGCAGGAAGGGAGTAGCCCAAGAAGCTGGGCCACAGGCTGTGGGAAGCGGGTTTCTGGGATTATCAAGGAGCATCGAAGGACACGACATCCAGAGTCAAAGATTTAAAGCAGTCTGGCAGCTCCTCGAAATGCTAGGCATAGCGTTACCATATGATCTAGCAGTTCCTCCGCTAGGTATCTAGTCAAGAGAATTAAAACATCTGTCCACACAAAACCCGAATACGAACGTCCATGGCAGCACGATTCATTATAGCCCAAACTGGGAGCAGCCCACATGTCTGTCAACAGATGGATGAATAAACAACATGTGGTCTAGTCATACAATGGAATGTTATTCAGCCATAAAAAGGAAGGAAATAATGGCACATGCTACAACATAGGTGAGCCCTGAAACATGATGCTAAGTGAAAGAAGCCAGACACAAAAGGCCACGTGTTCTGTGATTCTTTCTCTATAAAATGTCCAGAATAGGCAAATCCATAGAGACAGAAAATAGATCCGTGGTTGCCAGGGGCTGGGGGAGGAGGGAAGTGGGGAGTGGCAGCTAGCGGGTATGAGCTTTCCTTTTGGGGGGATAAAAATGTTCTAAAATTAGATGGGGATGATGGTTGCAAAATTCTGTGACTATACTAAACACCCACTGAATTGTACAGTTACTTTAAAATGGTGAGTTTATGGTTTGTGAACTACCTTTATAAAGCTGTTATTGAAAAAAGTCAAAAACTGGGGTCTCACCTGCCCCTCAGACTCACAAGCCACATTATCTATAAAACGGGGCTGGTAATCTTTGCCCATTAGCTGGCAGGGAGACTCCAAGAGCTTTGTAAAAGCCCAGGTATTTTACAAATGATGTGTCATCTCTTCGTTTTTTGAGTTCTTCATTGCAGCTGGTTCCTGAAGGTATTTGCAGCCCCTGCCCACACCCCCAGCAGCTGATCTCATTCCAGAAGCCGGGACAGGGTGAGGGAGAAGGGGTGGTGTACTTTTCTGTCTGGAAGGTGACTATTTCAAGTTCAGATATGACATTTCATCCCAGGAATTCCTCTTTCCATGGTGGCCTGTGGGACATGGAATTCCTGTGATCTGAATGTTAATGGGGACAAAAGGCACAAGTGTTCATGTCCCATTTGGAAACCCCAGTGGGTTCCCCTTTGATATAAAACGCACTGGCCTCTCTAGCATAGCTTTAGCATATTTTCCTCTGAGGGGGCAGGTGGGAGTGTGGATGACCCAGTGAGAGCCATTATGACTGCTGGAAAAAATATTCAGTCTGTCCTTCTAAGCCTCCCGGCAGTGGCTTAATTTTGCCTCTCTGGTCCTTAGGTTTGTTTAATAAGGCACAGTCCCATAGAATGTGATAGAGTTTCATACCCGGCTGGTATTCAACAGTCAAAGACTGTAAAATTTAAAATCCAAGAGATACTGCTTTTCATCTCTCAGATAGGCAAAAATAATATTTTAGATAGTTAATGCCTCTTGGAGATGTGGAGGATGAAGACATCTAAGCAAGAGGTCCCTGCAGAGAATGCAGAAAGAGAGGACTGTGCTCCCTCACGGCCGAGGGTCTCCATCCTGGCCAAGGACTCAGTGCTGCACCTACCTCCTTAAATTCCTGGATCTGGGTCTGTTCGAACATGGTGAACACGTTGGAATTGGCGCCTTCTGCTCTCTTCTTGGCTTTCTTGGGTGCCTGGGGGACAAAAACGACAGCGATGGAGAGTCGGAAGCTGGAAATTAGAAAACTAGGGCAGGCCCTATCTCTGGTGAGCCTCAGCTGCTCATCTGTGGAATGGGGGTATGGTGCCCACACTCGTCTCAAAACGGTGACGCTGGCAGGATAAAAGGACACTAAATGACATTTCTCTAAGGCCCCCTGGTTCTGGTGGATCGTGAGAAATTGTGGATCCTGCAGCAGCTCTTTTTAAAAACTGGAAGAGGTGGAGCTGTGTCTCTGGGGATGGAGGCCACACTTCCGGATCAGCCCTGGCAGAGTCCAGCCACTTTTGTTCTGATGCATTTCACAAAATGTTCCGTAATGCACAGGAGGAAAATTGATTGGAGGGGGAAAAAAATTCAGGCTCACTAAAGCATGAGGAATGCTGAGATGAAATGACACTTTTTCAGGGTGTTAAAACCTAACCGCTCCCCCCACCCCACAATTCTGTCTTGATCCAAATGGCAGCGAAATCTTTCTAAATGGTCTGGCCGTACCCCATGCAAACAGTACAGGGAGCGAGTCAACATTCCACCCCCCATTCTCTCCGGCTTTAAATAGTTACAGCAGACGGTTACCCACTGTATGGATTTATTTCATTCAACTCTCAGAACTACTCTGTCAAGTAGATGCTGTTCTTACCGTCACCATTCTACTGGGGAGACAACTGAGGCTCAGACATGTCGGGTCCCTTGCCCAAGGTCACACAGTCACAAAAAAAGCAGAGCTGGAGTTGAACTTGGACCGTCTGACTCCAGAGTCTGTCTGTGCCCCTTAACTACACTCCTATGCTGACCCTAATTTGGGGGCTTCCTGCTTTGGGAGGGGGACACCTCACCAAACAATACATGGAGAAAGGTTTTAATTTTGCAAGTTCAAAAGGTGAATACAAAAAGATCTTTTCCCCAGCTGCCTGAACAAGAGACGAGAATTACAATTTGATCCTTAAAAGCATTCAATCCCATTTTGCAAGCCCTGGGAGTTATCGATTCCTCGAGAGGTCAGTAGACGAGCCATAAAAAAGCCAACTCTCTTATTTTGTTTTTGCAAGTCCCGGGAGCTGCTGTTATTTGTGGCTTATCAGGGCATTGATTGGGGTTCCTCTGTGTGCACACAGCGAGCAGCACTTTCTTCACCAGAACCTGGGGTCCTCAAAAGCTGCCTCCCCTCTGCTGCCTTTGCTCTGGTCCTTTGCTTGTAGGTGGTGTCCCCTTCTAGCCCACCCGGCATCAACTCACCTCGCAGAGCCCTCGATACTCACCATGGTGAATAGGACGCAGTACTGGTTCCTCAGGAGAATCCCACAGGCTGCCCACTCTCCTCGGCCGGAACAATAAATACTTCCTCCCCGTGTTTAAAAATAACCCCATGACCACTTTTGGCAGTAGTAGGTGAGGTAGGCACCACCTAAGGCCCCCCCACCCCATGCCGTTCTTCTGAAGTCAGGGCAGCTCACCCGCCTCCTAGTGACACTTGAGACCCACAAAGGCATTCAAGGTTAAAAAGACAGGCAGCTGGGTCACGGAGAGAGATGCTGCACACTTTCTGCAGTGCTTGGGCAGGCGACACTTGTGCTTGTCAATTTTGAGAGACAGAATGGTGGGGAGAGGAGACTTAAAATTCTCTAACAATATCAGGCACGGGGCGACCTCAGGGCCTTTGCACTTGCAGTGTCTTCTGCCTGGAATGCTTTCCCATCAGACATCTGCAAGGCTCCTGCCCTCGTTTCTTCAGACCTTTGCTCAAATGTCACCTCAGTGAGACCTCTCCACCACTCTTTTTAAAATAGCCCTTGACTACCTGCCCTCCAGATCCCTTTCTCTGTTTTTCTTCAAAGCATTTATCACTCCCTAACACACTGTGGAATTCACTTCTTTTCTTCAGCGTCAGTGGGACAGGGTCCTCTTTAGTTTTCCTCACCACTCTCTCCTTGGCTCCTAGCTCATGACTGGCACAGAGCAGCTGCTCAGCAAATACTTGTTGGTTGACTGAAGAAATAACTCACTTACAGAGCACTTGGTCTGTGCCAGGCACCATGTACAAACGTTTCATGCTTATATTGAATTTTCCATCCACCCTGTGGAGTGGGTACCACCTTATCCTCTATGTTCCCATTTCGCAGATGAAGAAACTGAGGCTAATAGAGGAAGTGAGCCTCCCGGGGTCATGCAGTGATGGAGCTGGGAGTGGATCCCAGGCCCATTTGCTCCCAGAGTCCGGGTTCTAAAGGGCCTCGGAAAAGGCACCTTGCTCTCTGAACGTGAGACTTTTTAATTATTACTCTCTCCCAAGATGGCTTTTCTCCTGTGTAGAGATAGGTGCCAGGGACGGGTGGGAGCCATCTCATAGGGTCTCAGGGGGCCTCTCTGAACAGAGACTGGGGAAGAGTGCTCCTGGCAGCAGAGGCCTCAAAGGAGGGTGAATTGGGGGCCTATAGGAGCACAAAGAGCTGAGTGAGTGAGGGGTTTCGAGGCACAAGGTGAGGCCAGCGAGGTAGGCAGGGCGGATCACGAGGTATGGCCTTGGAACTTCATTCCAGCAGCAAGGGGTGGGGGCATAGGGAGTTCCAAGCAGGACCCTTTGTCTAACCAGCCCCTGGACAGCCCCCAGAAGGAGACCCTATTAACCAGATCAAGCCACAGATATGTTCTCAGTTGCTCTGATGTGCTGGGACCTGCTGGGGATGTTGGAAAAAACTGGCAAGATCTTGAGTGGACAAACTAATAACAACAACGCAGACTTCCCCTCCTTGCCAAGGGCCTGAGTGGGGATTGCTGGAACATTTCTATTCGACCTTCAGCAGTTTGAGGCAGGGGAGTGAAGCGAATTAGCCCTCAGGCTGGGCAGTCCCTCTCTGAACATGTAAAGCGGGAATGATCAAAAGACCTTCCTCATGAGGTTTTCCAGAGGGTGACAGGAGATGAGGCCCACTCAGGTCCTCAGTAAATGCAGCCATCCCTCACGTCCCTTTCTCGACTGAAAAAAAATTCAATTTGGGGGCACAAACTCAAGAACCATTTAATGCCATGACAAAAAAAAAAAAATTAAAAAAAGATGTGGGATTTTTCAATCTCTCTAGTCACACATGGGTTAGAACTACCCAGAAGCACCTTCTAACAGAAGCTTTACTAACAAAAAAATGTGTTTTCCTGTGCGTGCACAGGCCCATGTACACCTGCACTCAAGTGGGCATATGCGGTGCGCACATATACGTGCACACGCACACGCACACGCCTACACAGATAAAACACCCACACACTTATGGACACTCATGCACGTATTGGCACACGCACCCACACACACTCATATGCACATGCACAAGCACAAGCACACATAGGTCGAGAAGAGCTTTTCTGGCCAAGATTCTCTGATAACGCCAAAATAAATGTTTTCCTAGCTAATAAGCACATCATGGATTTTCATTTAAGCGTTTGTGTGAACAGTCAGGAGCTATAAATGGCCAAGCGAAAAGGTTCCTGCAGCCACAGGAGATGTCGTGGGGGAAGAGAACCCCTGGTTCTGGGGTTAGGATGGGCTCAGGCCCCCAGAGGCGAATGGGGTGTATAGGTATGTCCCTCAAGGGCACCCGTAGAGCTAGGCCCTCCTCTGAGGACATAATTTATTCGACTAGGCCTTTGGGAGGGGCGCTAGAAGGGGGCTTATGGTTCAGTAGGGAGAGGTGTGGGGCTTCAAATAGGACACTATACCTCTCAGGGCCTCAGTTCCCTTATCTGGGAAAGAGAGACCATTATAGTACATACCCCTTTTAAGGCTGTGGGGAGGATTAAGTGAGATTATGTGTGTCAGGGGGATTCTGGGAACATAGTGGCCTGAATAGGGCCTGGGACCACATGGTAGCCAGGGCTTGGGGCCCATAGGATATGGATTAGGCCTTGGGCTCTGATGAGAGAACTGGAGACCCAGAGGCTCCCCCTTGCCAATGGGTTGGGTCACCACGGGGAGCTCCCGCCATCCCCAGAGCGCTAGGACAAAGTCCCGCGAGTGGAGAATCTGAGGTGAGGGGAGGGAAAAATGTGAGTAGTGCTTATAGATGTTCACTGCTCTAACCAAGAATGAGTTTGACCCCAAATTCAAAGGACATTAATTACTTATTTATTGGAGCCCTACTATGTGTAGAGCCCTGTTCTAAGGGCCTGATGAACCTCAGTAAAACTTCACTCAGGTAAGCGGAGACACGCATAATAAGCTTCGATTTGAGTAAAGTAGTAATTTATGTTCAACCAATATGGCACAATAATCTATTTTGAAAATGTAGCAGTGTATTAATTTGATTACTTTTTAAAGCCCAAGTATTGGATTACTACACAAAACAGAACTAAAGCAAATAAAACTTAGGGACATGCACATGAAACCCCCCAAAATGACTTCCTGATTTCTGAACTAAAAAAAATTAGACGAATTGCCAAAAAGGATGGTCCCTGTTGCAATCCAAAGAATGGCCTGAAAGATGATGTGCGGGGAATACCTCAGAACAGAATCAGGAAGAAACATTCCAGAAGGAAAGGCAGAAAGTGAGCAAGTACAGTTTACCCTTGAACAACGTGGGCATTGCTGGCGAAAATCCAGGTGTAACCTCTGACCCTACAGTGGGCCCGTCACATCTGCAGATTCGACAAACCGCAGATCGAAAACAGCATTTTCCCCACCCGCGGTTGCGAATCTGTGGTTGTGAATGCGAAAATAGCGTTCTGGCTCCCTCGGTTGAATCCCCGGATGCGGAACCCGCGGATAAGGAGGGCTGGCTGTAGGATGTGAGGGAAGAAACCCACGTGTAAGTGGGCCCGCCCAGTACCCACCCAGTGGCGTTCAAGGGTCCACTGTCATGCAAGAAGGTTTTCTTCAGCTGCGACGAGAACAAGATCCGTGGATGGAAAGGACTTTCACGCTGCAGGGATGAGGAAGAAACACACACACCCCACCGAGAAAGCTTGGTGAAATTCACGAACTCTGAGGATGAAGAAAAAACCTGATGTACTCCCCAGGCAGGAAGAACATCGCTCCAGGGGAGAAACTCTAACTGGCACCCGACTCTCCCTTGGGAACTCGGAAGCAAGGAGGCAGGGAACCAAGGGCCGCAGCCCTCAAGGTGCCCGTCACCCGCCAGAGTGAGGACAGACAGGACGAAGGTTTGCTTTTGATTCTCCTCAAAAACGCTTACTGTGACCAATGAGGGTTTTGGACTCCGAGGAGCCAAGGTGTGAGGCCCGACAGCTCTGTGTGGCCTTACGCAGGTTTCTTTTCTCTGAGCCTCAGTTTCCTCATCTGTAAAATGGAGATAATTGCACTCACCTCATAGGGTTGTCAGGAGGAGGGAATCGGATAAGACATCGTGAGCATGAGATGTCAGCCCCTGTGTTTTGGGGTGCTTGGCGGTTAGACCCTGGGAACCCCCCACTTGGGACCAGGGAGTTTCTAACATTTCCCAGGCCGGGAAAACATGGTCTATTCAGGTGGAGGGGAATCCTTGAATGGGGACAGTCCTCTTTCCACCCACCATTTGGAGCCGGCCACGCAGCTTCTCAGTGTCAGTACCTGCATTTGAACTTGGATCCAACGCCTTAGCCTGAGGCGATGTGTTTTCAGGGGATGGAAGGAGGGCTTGGAATGAGAGGAGCCAGGTAAGGGACGTTTGCATTTCTATAAGCCTTCGATTCCTACTTTGCAGATCACTGCTCCTGATAATTTTCTAAAGTAAACGGTAACATTTTAAATCTCAAAACGTCATGCGGATGAACCTGCGGAAGGAATCTGTGCTGTTAGGCCAATGGGAAGTGGTTCCTGGGATGGACCATTAGGGGTGCGGTTGCCAGGTTTAGCTGAATATATATACTGTATATAGAATGCCAGTAAAATCAGAATTTGAGGTAATGAGTAATTGAGGTTCTTTCCGGGTGCTTGGAGGGTTCTGTGTCTTGATCTGGGTGCTGGTTACATAGATGTGTTATGTTTGGGAAGATTCATCGAGCTGCACTTGTTTCCTCATCTGTAAAATGGAGATAATTGCACTCACCTCATAGGGTTGTCAGGAGGATGGAATCGGATAATACATTGTGAGCATGAGATGTCAGCCCCTGTGTTTTGGGGTGCTTGGCGGTTAGACCCTGGGAACCCTCACTTGGGACCAGGGAGTTTCTAACATTTCCCAGGCCCGGAAAACATGGTCTATCCAGGTGGAGGGGAATCCTTGAATGGGGACAGTTCTCTTTCCACCCACCATTTGGAGCCGGCCACGCAGCTTCTCAGGGTCAGTACCTGCATTTGAACTTGGATCCAACGCCT